ATATATATATATATATATCCAAACATTTAAACATTATATACATGATACACATATAACACCAATTAACTAAACACTTTATGCATCTCATATTTTGACTAGATTGTCCAGACTTAGAATAAATGTCGAGTTATGCACTTGTGGTGGCTTCTACTATTGTACAAAGCCATTGTCAATGGGTTTCACCCCACCACACTCACAAGGTCAATTTGATTCACACTTTAATCATACTAGAAGCACCCAAGACTAAAACTTCCTGCTACACTCACCACATGTATCAAAACTCTATATTTGATAATGTATGACCATTAGAGTGTTAGAAAAAAACCCCAAGACTGAGCTACCTGCATTCATTCTAACCATACTTGAAACACAACTAGGAATTCTACCTTGGAACTCACTTTCACAACTTTGAAAACATATATATACATCCCTTCACTTTCACATAGTATAACACCATATAGAAACATTAATCATACTTTAAAAGTCATAAACACCCAAACAAATTATTGAAATTACATAATAACACAATTTTCTTCATGGTCACTTGATACTCTCTTACTAGGTAAGGAAAACAACTTTGAAACCCTCACCAGCAGCTTTGGAAGGGTCCAAAACCTCCAAAACGACCTAAAGAACGTCAATAATTAATACCCAGAATCTCAAATTTGATATTTTCAAAACCTAAAAAAAACAATATTGGTGTGGGAAGATCTCATCCAATACATCATATTATTCTTATATATTCTATTTTATTATAAACAAATACAATCTAATATGGATCTAGCTTTCCTTACATCACAATAAACTGTCCAACTCAAAGAAACGTTCCGTCGATTACTTGAAACGCAAGGAATCTCTAAACACGAAATACCAAGTTAAAAACGGAGAGAGTCCTTAGAACTCTAGATGAACCAAGAATGATTAGGAGAAACATGATTACACATGCAAAGCCACTAGATTCTTTTAAAAACGAAAGGAATGAAGGAGGGAAAAGAACTAAAAACTTACTTGTTCTATGACAGAAATTGACCGGCTAGAATTGTAGACCTTAAAGCCGTGATTGATTATACACCTCCTGATCGTCAAAGAGCTGACTTAGGAGTTAGGACTTTTAGAGAAAAGATAGAGAACTCTAGAAAAGTGATTTTTAGAAAGATGATACGTTTTAAAATAGTGAAATTCATTTATAACAAAACTATTTCTAAATAAACCATTTAATTTAATATATATATATATATATATATATATATATATATATATATATATATATATATATATATATATATATATATATATATATATATATATATATATATATATATATATATATATATAGTATTTGGAGATATTGTAAAATAAGTTTCTTAATTAGTTTATTGTAAAAAACTGGCATTAGTAAGTGTTAGAACCATTAAATCCATGCTGAGTGAAATCCAGGTGTTAGTGTGAGGGTTTAGAAAATTCAGAAAGTGGAAGACAAGTGTGTGTATCTGGTTGGCCGATCGGTTTTTGACGGTAGTATATAAGCAAAATTTTCAAATGTTGAGCCACTTTTGCATGCACCTCTTCTCTCAAGAATTCTGAGTTTCTCCTCCTTCTCTCTACAATTCTCCTTCTTCTCTCTACAAAATTCTCATTTTCTTCTCCTTTTGATCATCATCTAGGCTAGGTCTGAGTTCTTTCTTGGTGACAAGAGTTTTCTTTCCATCAATCCAGCTGTTGTGTGAAGTTGGTAAGTTAAAATCACTCATTCTTTGAAGTTATGCGTTTTCTGATACATGCAAGCATTGTTCACCTTGCATGTGTTCTTCTTTTATCTCTCTCTGAATCTGTTTGTCTTTGATTCTCTGGTTGGTCCCTGTTCACCGATCAAAAATTTTAGAAGGTTGCTTTAGAAGTGGTTGCCGGTTAGTCCAAACAGTGGAAGCTTAGGAAGTGTTGGGTGTATTCCATGTAAGGGAAGTTAGTAATTTAATTATGCTTTTCTGTGTTTGGAATTTCTGTTTGAATGTCTGCATGTATGAATAATTGTATGTGTGATTGAAATTTGCATTCAAATTTTGTGTTGGCCGAGACTTGTGAATTGGGTTGGTGTTCCTTATGTAGACCATTCGGTCTTTTCTGGTTTGTATAAGAGAGGATGTGAAATGTGAGTGGAGTCAAATAGGTTCAGTGGGATAGATTTAAAAGACATTATGAATCAAGTTTAGAGTTTTAGAAGTTCAGAAAAATATCTCGTTTTGGTTTAAGGAGTGTCATCCAACATTCAGTAGAAGTTTTACAAAATCATGTATAAAACCGAACGATTATTGTTGACCGTTCGATTGTGTTCCATACTCAATCATTAATTGGGTTTGGTCCAGTGGAAGTACTATCTAATCATGACCGTTCAGTCTAGACACAATATTTATATTAAACTAGTATCTAGTATAATTCAAGTGCTCAATGTAGTATAAACATTCGGTCTAAGTTTTTAAAAGTTCAGTTTGAGCTATGAGTGTTCGGTGTAAGGTCTTCGGGTTTGGGCTAAGTTCCTAGTAGTTAGTTTTTCTATAGTGGTCGATCAATAATAGCGTTCGATCATTTTCTTCTGTTTTGTCTCTTATAAACCGTTCCTTTTTTTTCCACTCAGTTGGGTAGTGTGAAGGTGTTCGGTCTATAACGTTCACATGTTTTCTCTTTATTATGTGTGAAAATTTAATTGATGAATGATAGTGTATGTTAATAATTGAAGATTTATACTTTTAAATATTGTGGAAGAGAATTCCAAGGAGGAATGTCTCATGGATGGTTGTGGAATTGTAAAGTATGAATATGGATATGCTAAGGTGGCGTTCATCCTGATATTCTGTGAGTTACTTATTCTCAAGTAGAGAGGAGTAACTCATGGGTGAGAATGGCAGGAGGTCCTACCACCTCAGGGTGCCGAGGTAGGTAATATAGGATTAACCTTGGGTAGTAGCTTGATTGGTGTCAGCTGTTACACTACCACAAGTGCAAGGACGACTGTAGCTACATATTCATACAATCTGGATGGTCAAGTCATATGTTCGGTTTATATATACTTATATGAATGATGATGTTTCGTTTGTATATGATGAATTGTATTCATTGTTGTATAATGTACTGTTCGGTTTTGTATGGATTGAACTTGCATGAAATGCTTATATGTGTTTATAATTAAATTACAATAGCTTACCGTACTTTCTTGTTCTATCTTGTCTTATCCGTTCAATTTCTTTTCTATTGCGATGATCATCCTGTGGATGTGAGCAGAAGGTGACGAGTGTTCGGTAGAACAAGTGTTGGAAGGTGAGGATCCTACCGCTTAAGTTATGATCTCTCGGTCATCAGTTGTGTATAGTTTTGAATTGGACCGTTCGATCAATAGAGTTAGTTTACTTTTTGTAAACCGATCTGTTTATACAGCGTGTTGTATAACCGTTCGGTTTATTCCTGTATTTTGTATCAAATGTATGATATTCTGTAAAGTTTTTAGTTTTATGGTTATTTTAGATAACTGTAATTGTTAAATACTTTACTAACTCTTAATGAACTGATCTATCATATTATTATATGTGATTAATCTATGATATAGTATTATGCTATATTTTGAGGATGTTACAATAAGTTATAACGTTTTAGGATTGATACCATCATGGTAAGAAAAATAAAGATTTTGAAAAAAAAAATCATATTATTATTTAATGACTTATATAAATATATTCGGAGCATTTTCACATTTTAATTATTTGTGAGTCATAATATTCTTTGTAAGAATCAGGATTTGCTATAAAAGGAAATTTCATATGATATACTGAAAAAAAAGTTGTCATTATGTAAAAATATCTAATAAAATCAAGATGGTATTTTTCAGAAAAATAAATTATTTTAATTTAGAAAATGTAGATTTTCACTCATTGACAATAATTTTAAGTTAAAAAAGAGTGACGAGTTACTTTTATCAAAAGAATAATTTGTTACTATTTGAAATGATTTAATAAGTGCAAGATGGTATTTTTTTTTCGGTAAAGTTTTATTTTTATTTAGAAAAGAACTAGATTTTCACCTATGACAATATTTTTGTGTGAAAATCTTTGTTTCTTGAATGAATGTTTTATGAAAACACAAATTTCCAACTTGAGATTCTTGGAAGACAAACTTTTTCTTTCTACCATTTTTGTGAATTTTGTAAGGATTTAATGGCTACATACTATTTTAATATGAAACTTTTAAAGCCATATATTAACATCTACATTAACAAACACTCCTTTTATATATATATATATATACACATTACGAACTGATGTCTTTTAAATTTTCAATACTTATATCTTTTAAATTTTCAATAGTGATATCTTTTAAATTATCGATAATATATTAAAATCACATCTCTTAAAAGATAAAATATTACATGCTAAAAAGAGTAATGTATTGCAATTTTTTTAGAACTATGTAGATTGAAATAAATCCTTTAAAGAATCAATAAAATATTAGACACACATATTTATCAAAATAACACATATAAGTTGCAAATTTATTTAAAATGTGATTATGTATATTTTTTAAAGATAATCTTTTAAAGTATCAGTCAAATATTAAAAGCGCATATTTATCAAGATAATCAAGCTAAGATATTCCATTTAAAAATCACTTATCTTTAACAAATGTATTTAGACGTGATTGTGCATTTTTAAAAAAATCTCCTAAAGTATCAATCAAATATTAGAAATAGATTTATACAATATTGCATTCTGAAAACAAATTTATTTATAATATAATTATGTGTTTTGATTAAATCTTTTAAAATATCAATCAAATATTAAATGCACATATTTATCAAGATAAAATGATTATATTACATAATAAAAATAACGCAAATTGAAAACACGTATATTACAATTTCTTTGGGATGTGAGTGCGTACTTTTAAAAAATAATTAAAGTGTGAATCAAATATTGAAAACACATATTTATCAAAGATATTGAAATTGTAATTGGAAGAAAATGAAACGCTTAACACGGGTGCCCACATACACATTCTTCTGACAAACTCCATAATGTAAAAAAAAAATAAAACATAAACGGAGAAGAAAAAAAATAGTAATGGCTTCCAATAATAAATTATTTGTAGAAAAAAATTGAAAAAAAGGAAATATAGTGTGAAAAGAGATATAAAGGTAGATTTCCTCATATCTTTACATAAAGATAACTGTATTATGTTTCATATTTTATAATAAATACATATATTTTATTTAAAAAGATGAATAAAATTAATATTAATATAGATATTATTTTTAACTAATTTAAAATAAGATAGTGAATTAGAAAATGAAAACTCACATTTTCTATAGAATCTATGATATTAAATAATTTGAAAAAATGTACTATGAGGACTAAGATTATAATTTTTTATAACTTGAAAATAGGAAACATTGAATAGCAACCAACATTGCAATAAGGTTGTAAAAATTCCTTCTAGAAAGTCAAATATACATTTTTTAAACATTTGTGTACAATTATAATAATAAGAATAAGATTATAAATGTAGAATGTCACAAATTACCTAAAATCTCTCATTGAGTCAAACATAATAACAAATGTTACAAATGTAGAATGTCACAGATGATCTAAAGTTTCTCATTGAGTCAATCATGATAGGTTGATGAAGATTTGAATGAATTTGTATATATTTTGTCAGCTTTCAATCTTCTTGTAATCCAAAGCTAAACATAAATTGCTATGATTTGAATGACGAAACATCCACACTTTGATTGTATCATTCTTTTCGAGTTTATGATCTTTAAAGAAATCTTTCCACCCACCATTCAACACATAATATTTATTTGTCCACTTCTTGAATGTTAGAGTGTAACTATTCTTGCGGATATCATAAACACAAACTTCAATTCCCTTTTCAATATCTTCACCATTTCTTAAGAATGGTAAAAAAGCTTTTTCAACATGTTTTTTGTTGAGAAGAAGCCTATTTAGATTAACATTGACATCACTGAGTGTGAGTTGCTTCTCAAGAGGTTTACCATGTTGAAAGATATGCTCTTGAAAATTTTCCATAAAAGTCAAATAAGAATGATCATGATCATCACTAGTAAGATGTTCTTGTGAAGAACTAGTGAGATGCTCTTGTGTAGAACTAGTGATATGCTCTTGTGAAGAACTAGTGAGATGCTCTTGTGAGGAGAAACATACCTTTGATGGTGAAACTTCTATTGATAATTGATCTTTTTGGTGTAGAATTGCCAAAGAATCATGTTTTTCAAACCCTTTACCATCTTCAGATTTTGATGACCTTTCTTCAAAGTTGTGGGATTTCTTGCATCTTTTGTTGCCAAAAATATTTTCATGCCATTTTTGAGGATCTTTTTCTCCTTGCATAATCTCTAGAAGCTCAAGTATTTCTAATCCATCTTTGGAGAATTCTTCAATAATTTCCTTTTCCATATAAGACCAACTACGCTTCATGTTCTTTGCACCACTTTTTGAAACTTTTGAAGCCATATATTAACATGCACAATAACAAACACTTCTTTTATATATATATATA